CAGGACTGCACCGCGGAGGCACAAAGAGAAGAGAGAGAATTGGGGAGAGGGGAGACCACCCCACCCCGGCTGCTCGGCGGCGATTAAAACCGTGTTCCAGCACAACCGGGCTGCAGGGAAAACCACCCCGCCGGGCACAAAGCAAGGTGTCCCTGAGCACCGTTACCTTCTCGGGCGACGACGGAAGCGGCATCCAGGGCTTTGGTGCCGAGGTTGCCCAGCACGTTGTCCACGGTCTGGTGGTGCCTGAGGAAGCAGGGCCGGATGACGCTGCGGTAAAGCACCTGCGACCCGTTCCAGGACACGGGAGCCATGCACCACAGCAGGAACAGGCACTGCGGGGAGGAGAGACGCTGCAGAGCCGGCAGTTTTTTGCTGAGTGAGCCCCGGGGAGGCTGGAGCTCACAGAAGGTACCAGGATCGCTGCTCTGCTCATGAGGCAGAGCCACCACGCTCCTCCAAGATCGAGGACTCTGGCCCTGGCAAAGCCGTTACCTTCCCAGCGTAGTAAAAGGGGAACCAGTAGAGGAAGATGTCGGAGAAGAACTCGGCTATGCTGAAGACGCCGTACACCACCCAGTAGGTCAGCCACATGGTGTCGTCCTCCTTGCTGGAGCTCTCGATGGCTTTGATGCTGTGGCAGGAGAGGGGAAGGGCACTGCTGCTGCAGTCCTGCTGCCAGGGTGGGCACCCGCTTCCTCGAGCGCCCCAAACCCCGGAGCAAACCAGCCTACCAGGCGCTGCTGCCCCATGCTGGGACTGAGCCAAGTCCCAGCACTTTCAGTAAAGACTGAAGAGCTTCCCAGCTGTAAGGGCCTCCTCACTGACCGGGGAGACCCTCAGCCAAGGGCAGGGAATGCTCTCCAGATGCCGCAGGGAGGCCGGGATGGGCCACTGGTACTTACGAGACGTAGGCGGGGTAGGCGAAGCCAATGAGGTTGCAGAGCAGCGAGGCGCCATAGCCGAACACGAGGTACAGCCCCAGGAACGACACCGAACCTGCCCGGGGGGACAGGAAGACGGTTGCCTGCCTGCTGACACCGAGACGGCGAGGAGAGACCCCGGCTCAGTCTGCTGAGCAGGTTTCTCATCCCAGTAGTGAGAAGAAACATGGGCCAGGACCCTCCAGTTGGGAATTATCACCACTCCCAATTAATTGCAGTAACACCCTGTGCACACCAGACCACTAAGGTGCTCAGGACACCTCTTGTGTGGCCCCGCTAAGTGACAGCACGTGGCAGAGTCTGTCGTACAGGCACCTGCTCATCCCCAAGTGAGCCACGACCTGGTCCTGTCACCTTTTGTTCCCTCCCTGGCTTGGAAGGAACTTTACCGTTACAAACTCGTGGCAGTAAAACAGCGTTTCTGACCTGTTGCCAGCCTGGACATGGGCCAAGGCTGCAGAGACGTCAGAAGCGGAGACTTTTAACACACACCTGCAGTCCAAAGTCAAGGCTCCGAGCTTCTCCTCCGCACACGGGGCTTGGAGCCACTTGGTATTTTGATAACAATTGTTCAAGGACAAGCCTTGCTACCAGAGCCTGCGTCTCCTTTTTGCTCCCTGTGCACATCTCCCGCATGTGCTTGTGCTGAGCAGCCACCGTTCATTAAGGATTCAGCCCCCTGAGAACCTGCAATCCAATCCCGCTTCCCTGTTATTAAATTACATCGTTAAAATTAAACGTAAGCCAAGGCTTTGGTCGTGTGGAGCCTGCCCAGCCCTCAGACACTTGCAGGAGGCAGGATCAGCGGAGCTGGGAGACCTGGTGGACGGGGGAAGCCGGGACAAGGAGCTTTGGTGCCGAAACCACGGCCACAGCGAGGGCACGGGGACACTGACACCCAGGGGCTCCCTCCCAAACTGCCCGAGGCAGCTGAAGCACAGACCCCGAAGGGGCTGAGGGCAGAACGCAGCCTGGGGACATTCAGAGCCGGAGTCGAGGGCGTTTACTGTTGCAGCCCAGCAGCGTCTCCCCTACCCTGCGAACAAACTCCCCAGTGAACCCGAGTGCGTGTCCTCCAGCAGGCAGGAAAGCCGGGACTTAACCTGTCCGTGCCGGTGAATTAGAGGAAAGCCCTTGCTCGGGCTGGGAGGACGGATTATCCCCGTTCTGCTGAGTGCAGCATTTCTGCACCTTGCTCCGGCCCCCGGTGTGAGGCAGCCACGGCTCCAGGCACCAACGGGGCTTCGGGTCTTTCCCAGGAGACGTGGGCAGGCTTTGGAGCAGTGACAAAGCTCCCTCCAAGGAAAACGAGCGGGCAGGTTCAGGCAGTGCCGGGTTTCATTCCCCCAAGAGCCTTAGAAGGGATTTCACGGGCTAAGTTTAGCCCCCAGAGAAATTTATGTAACAGCAGAAAACCAAGGGAAAGGCTTCGCTTGCACAGAAGAGCTGCTGAGGGAGGCGGCCGGAGCTGTCCCGCGGTGCCCATCCCGGCAAGAAGGGGGAAAAAATCGGCATGACGGCCAACCCATGGCTTGGCAACAGGGACACCATCCTCCTCCACGATGATTTTTTCCCAGCTGAAGCCACCACAGAGCTGCCCTGGTCGTGCTGCCCAGAGGCCAGGCAAGGTGGGCTCCAAACTGCAGCCCACGGGTCGCTCCAGAACTGACACTGCCAGGTTCAAACACAATTGCTCCTGAGCCAGGGGAGGGAGAAATAAAGTATTTTTGGTTTAACAACAGCTTCTCCTTCCCAGGGATGGGGAACGTGGGACCGTCGCTCTTTGGTGGAAGCTGTGTCTCCGCTCTTC